GTGGTGGCGTCCCGCCGCGTCTGCCCCGAGGGGGCCCGCGGTGGGGTGGGTGCTCGCCGAGTCTGCCCCGAGGGGGCCCGCGGTGGGGTGGGTGCTCGCCACCACCCACTGCAGGAAGTCACGAATCTGTCGAGAGAGGAGCAGATACTGTCAGACCCAAAGGGTGCTTTGCACATTCTAGGCAGGAAGTGACAGGCATCTCCTTGTCCCAGCCTGAGGCCATCTGCCAGTGCTGAACTGAGTATACACATGGGCCAGGCCCTGGGATACAGCAACGACGAAACTAAAACAAAAACAACAAAAATGCTACTTCTATGAACTTTTCTTCCCCCCTTCTTCTTCTTCCTCTTCCTCTTCCTCTTCTTTCTCCTCTTCCTCCTCTTTTTCTCCTCTTTCTCCTCCTCCTGCTCCTCCTCCTCTTCTACTAACATCTATTTATTTATTTATTTATCTGCTTCTTGTGATTTTCAAGCCCCCCGGTCTGGGACTTGAACTGCTATTAGATATGTGGGAATCCAGTGCCTTAACCACCATGCCATTGGCTGCTCCTCATCCTCTTCTACTAACATCTATTTATTTATTTATTTATCTGCTTCTTGTGATTTTCAAGCCCCCCGGTCTGGGACTTGAACTGCTATTAGATATGTGGGAATCCAGTGCCTTAACCACCATGCCATTGGCTGCTCCTCATCCTCTTCTACTAACATCTATTTATTTATTTATTTATCTGCTTCTTGTGATTTTCAAGCCCCCCGGTCTGGGACTTGAACTGCTATTAGATATGTGGGAATCCAGTGCCTTAACCACCATGCCACCTACTGGCCCCAAGCTTCTCTTCTAATGGGGAAATTGGACATTCGGGCCCCGAGGGAGTCACGGGGTGCTTGCGCCTGATTCCAAGTGTTGGTGAGTGCCATTAGACAGTTCTAAACAGGGAGTGGGCATCACCAGGTCTGCGTTTCCTAGAGCACCCGGAATGGCACGTGGGCAGTGAACTGGGCAGGAGGGGAGATGAGAGGGCCACATGGAGGCGCAGCCATCTGGTGACCTTGGATGTGGCCTGGACAGCCGGTGGTGGGGAGAGAGAGGTCGACTGTCTCGGGAGGTGTTCTGAGACTGAGCCGGTGGGAACGTGAAACCGTGAAACCGAGGACAGGCGGGAAGGAGGAGGCAGGGCTGGCCTCCCGGTGGCTGCCCTCAACAGCGGAGTGCTTTGTCATGTGTCCCCTGAGTCAGGGGACACAGAAAGAGAACTAGGTGTGGAGAGGGGACATCGCATTTCATTTTAGCCGAGGTGAGTCTGAGACTCCGGGGCGGTGTCCCAGCAGGGAGGCCATGGAGGCCCTTGGAGGCCAGGGGAGAGGCCAGGTGCAACTCAAGGCGTCGTCAGCAAACGGTAACACTGAAAGTCGCTGAGCTGAGTGAGGTCATGGAGAAAGCGAGTGTAGACAGAGGACGTGGGACTGAACCCCGGGTCCCGAAGCTCATTCACTGGGCCAACAACGGCTGTCGCGATGCCCAGTACCAGCTGGGCCCAGGCGCTGAGCTTAGCCGTGGGATCCCCCAGCGGGGGACGCCGGGTGCCACGCTGCAGATGAGAGTGCGGCAGGGAGAGCAAGCGCCGCCTGAGCACTTAAAGCCAGCCGGGGCTGCTGCTCCCTGTGGGACCAGGACTCGGGGTGAGCGGAGGTCACGCCTGCAGCCATCGTTCCTTCATTCAATGCGCACTGACCGAGAGCCCCACGAAGGACCACGTCGGCCGGGAGGGACGCAGGGCAGGCGGCCCAGGGAGACGGTTCTGTGAACCCGTGCAGTGACAAGTGACCCCAGTCCAAAGAAGGAAAAGACCAAGTGCCGACTTCGGATGGACAGAATCCAGGAGAGGCCTTCGAGGAGGTGAAACTCAGGCGTGAGAAGTGAGAAGCAGCAGCCTTCGGAAGAAAGGAGGTCGAGAGCCCGGAGCAGAGGGCGCGTGAGAGCAAGGCCCCCAAGCTGGACCGCCTTGCGTACCACAGGGAAAGAAAGTCTCCAGTCAGCCGAGGGCAGCAAGGGCAGCGGGCGCCAGAGGCCGGGCTGGAGAGTCACAGGGGCTCCGGTGCCCAGGGCAGGGCTGGGGTTTATTCTGACAGCACCGGGGAGCAGGGAGCATGGGGCCTTCCGAGGAGGGGAGCCACCCTTTGCTTTTGCCTCGGAAATATGTCTGGAACGCCTGTCATGAGCCCAGTGTGCCCCAGGCACCAGAACTGTATCTGAGCAGGACACAACCCTCATCTTGCCGTCCTGTCCCCCAACCCCCGGCTGCGAGGCCGCTCTGTCTGCGGCAGCCCCCAGCCTCGTGGGGCTAAGCAAATCAAGATGAACAGAATGAAGCACTCAGCAGCCACCGCGGCTAGTGGCCACCCTCCAGGACACTGTGGACAGAGACTGTGTCAACAGGGCAGGGAGATTACTGGACAGCACTGCTGTGGTTTGACGAGAACCCGTAAGGCAGGCAAGCGTATGAGAATAAATATGCCGGGTGACAGTGATAGGGTCTCTGGTGGAAAACGAAGTGAGAGGAAGGTAGGAACTGCCTGTTTGGGTGGGTGTTTGCAGCGTACATGGGTAGTCAGGGAAGGCTTCCCTGAGAAGGTGCCATCTGAAGGAAGTGAGGGAGTGAGCCACACGCTCCTGGAGACAAGAGTCGCTGCCCGAGGGGCGGGCCAGTGCGAAGGCCCTGGGGCAGACCCCGTGGTGTCTGGGGACCCGGGGGGACGGCAGTGTGGCTGCAGCAGAGGAGAACGGGAGGGTGGGAAGAGTGACATGGGGCAGAGCACGCCAGACCTGGTGGCCGCAGCGAGATCAGCCCTTATTCTGCACGAGGTGGGAGTCGCAGAGGAGGGACGAGCCCCACCTACGTGTTAAAGCGTCTCTGGCTGCTCTGTGGAGGATGGTACAGGGCAGAGGCAGAGCAGGAGTCCAGCAAGGAGCTGCTGCCGTAGTCTGGGTCAGCAGGCGGCGTGGTTAAGGCTCTGGACTCTCACACAGCAGTTTGCGTCCTGGACCTGGCGATTTGCTTTCTTGCGCTCTCTCTCTCTCTCTCTCTCTTTCTCTCTCTCTCTCTCGCTTCAAATTTAAAAATAGTAATAAAACAATAGTAATAAGTAAAATAAATAATTATTAAAAAAGAGACGTCAGCTCAAACCAAGATGGTCGCAGTGTGGAAGGCAAGACGTGGTCAGCGTCCAGGTGTGGTTCAGAGACCCATAAGGATTTCTGGATAGTTTGGAAAGAGGAGGTTTGAGAACTCCCAAGGATCTCGGGAAGCATGGACTCGCCGTCCCTGAGCTGGGGGGAGCAGGTCAGATGGTTCCCGAGTCCCTGGCCCTCTCTGAAGCCTCCGGTGTAGCCTGAGGACTCCAGGTGAGAGCCAGCGCCCCTCCCCCAGCAAACTCCAGGTCTACCTGGGGAAGCACAACCTGCGGCAGACGGAGAGCTCCCAGGAGAAGACCCCTGTTGTCCGGACCGTGACCCACCCTGGCTATGACGCTGCCACCCACGACCAGGACATCATGCTGCTGCGTCTGGCCCGCCCGGCCAACCTCTCCGAGAGCATCCAGCCCCTGCCCCTGGAGAGGGACTGCTCCG